TGGATGGGCCGCCCGGAGCATCCAGGTCGTCTCCTTGGGAGTGGCAGAGGAGGGTGAGCCAGTGGAGTACGGCGAGCACCACCGGCCACGAGTGCGGGGTGCCGGGGGCCTTGAGTGCCGAGCGGGTGACCTTGTAGGGGCACCCGAGAATGCGAAGGTCCTGGATGAGGTCATCCTCGAACGTGGCGTCGTTGCGGGCCAATTGGAGACGGTCGACGAGGAGGCGGAGCGCCGCCTGGATGTCGCGCGCGGCGGGCAGAGGCCCCCGGAGCGTGACGGCGGGGGCGAGGAATCCGTTTACGACGCGGAGCGCGGCGACCTGCGTGGGGCGGTCGGAGAAGTTGGGGGCGGCGCCGACGCCCGCACCGGCGGTGGAAGCGGGGCGGCTGCTGCAGAGGCTGGCGGCGTCGGAGTCGCGGCGGGAGAAGGCGGAGTCGAGGTTGCGTATAACGCTGGCGTCCAGCGCTGGGGTGGCCTCGGACGCGGTGGAGGGTGCCATGGAGGGCTTGGGGAACCGGCGGCCGCCGCCACGCCGCATGGTCGCCGCGGATCTAGTGAGTTTGGGGACTGGGTTTTTTCTGTTTGAAACTGGGTTGGGGTTTTTTCCGAAAAGGAGCGGCGCCGGCAAAGAAAAGGCGAGCGGGGGGCGTACGGCGTGTGGCCGTGCGGTGCGGAGCGAGGAGTGATATGATTTAGCGGGCTACTCCGCTGGCCCTACAGAGCCCAGTAACTTCTTCTCAGCCTGTCACATGAGATCCCACCTGCTAGCATTTTTCAAAAAAAAAACTGCTAGCATTTTTTCAAAAAAAAAAAAACTGTTACCGTCCAAAGGCCGGGTGCGGGGTGGACAAAATAATTTTAGGTATGAAGATGGGGAATGAACGGGTTTGGCCATTTCTGCCCATCGGCATCGTTAGAACCATCGCATCAGAGTTTTGCAATAAAACTCCTAGAGGCGGTTGCCAAGCTTGGAGAGGAAGTTGGACAGTTATACGAACCTTCGACTCTTGTTGAGATGCAAAAACGATTTAAAAAATCATATAAAAATATAAAAGCAGGTGGATATGTACTGTAAGAGACACGAATCACATGAATTTTGCCTGCACATTAACATGAATTATGTTGTTTTTGTATAAGTTCTTTTAAGATTGAACTTACGTCTCAACTTTTGATACAAGGTATATCTATAGATGCACTATGGATGTTCAATCATTTTACCCTTTTTAAACACTTATAAGTATCTGTCTCAATTTGGTTTTTATAATTGCATCGATATTTATTCTAAATAAAAGAATCATATATTTTGAAATGATCGGGAAGGACAATTTATTTATTATGAGAGCTGAGTTGGGATGTATAGTTACGGGATCCTACAAGTTTATACGGGATATATAGTTACGGGATCATACGAGTTTATACTAGTTCGACATGCTTGTGCAGTGGGTGAATGGGCTTCAAAATACTCCACCCACATTGACAACCACTGCAAACTCGTTTAGTATATCTGGTTTAGTATAACTGTTGATATATATAAGATGGCTGATAAGCCGGCTGAAGCTGTTTTGTTGTGAGAGAAAATTACTGTAGATTCTAGTTGATAAGCCGGGTGATAAGTTTAAGCGAATAGGACATTTTGGAGATGGTTTTTTTTTGTTTGAAACTAGGTTGGGGTTTTTTGGAAGGGTTATTTTGATTCATACCTCTTCCTCGTGAGAAAATGGCGAATCTGCCGTTATGAAAAGTGGGCTTCGCACTTTCGCCATCCCGTAAATATGATTCGCTCGTTTGTCATTATCAAACGAGACACACCCGCTAAAATGCCCTGCGACGTATTTATTGTCAAATTAATTTTTTTTTGCCACGGCATATTTTCCTTCCCATTTTGTCCCTCGGCCTTACCCCTTCCTTCCTTTTCATTCACGATCGTTCACGGATGGGAGAGAGACGAGATGGAGACGCCGCCGCTAGGTCAAGCGAGGAGAGGGAACGACTCCTTGCCGCCGCCGCCGCCGCCTCCAACGATGTCGCCGACGGTCGACGACAGGCCACCTCCTGGGCCGTTTCCCCGAAGCTAGTCAGGCGTCCTGGCTCTACCGGCCGACGCCGGCGCTGCTCCAAGTGCTGGATGGAGGAGAACTTGCCAAATCTCATCCAAGGGTACGTATTCTTGCTGTGGTGGTAATCTAACTGTGCCCAATCATCTAGATGATACTCGACTAGTGTAGATGTGGTGGTAATCTAATTATGCCACCTTTTTCTGTACTAGGCTCGATGGGGAGCCTGAGCTTAGCTTAGTACTGGTAGAACCTCCTGCATAGCAGATGCAGACACCTCTTGTTGATTAGGATCACGCTACGCATCGAGGAAAGTTGAGATGAAAAGGGAAGAATTGAGATTGTTGATGATGAGGTGATGTATGAACTGTTGGGGTTTAGGCCTGAGGATGAGGAGGCTGATAAGGCAAGAAAGACATCTAGTAAAGGTTGCGGTCAATAGAACGATGATACTCGGTAGAGGACTGAAGAAGTTGATACAACTAGGGCAGCCATTGAAGTTGATGACTATTTACCAGGGAAGAGGATTGTGGTGCATGATCCAAATCGGCCCAGTATGGATCTTGGCATAATTTATCCTAACATGAAGGAGTTTAGATTGGCTGTCAGACAATTTGCTATAAATAAAGGGATGTGGAGAATTGGGCAAAAGGAAATGCAAGGGATGTGGAGAATTAGGCCATGGTGAAACAAGCTACAAATGCCATCTTAATGGGACTAAGAAAAGGTAAGACCTGCTATATTTACTTGTTGTCTTGACTTATTGTGCTCATTAACTTAAATTTTTTTTCTAAACTTGTAGGAAAATAAAGCAAAAAAAATACAACAAAGTATGGTGAGAATGTAAAGATCCCAACAAAGAGAGCAAGAGAAGGAAGGGAAATCTCAGGATACTGCTACTGAACCACCAGCCCCAAATGCTTTCAATGATCAAGAAATGGCTGCACCAGGCCCAAATACTTTCAATGACCAAAAAATGGCACCACCAGCCCCAAATGCTTTTAATAACCAAGAAATGGCTGCACAAGCCCCAAATGCACTCTCCAGTCCCACAAGACTCACAAGGGACCAGATCATACAAAACAGCCCCATTAGGGTGACAAGAGGGTATGCAACACATTAATTCTCATTCTTTTATACTTGTACACAAGAGCAACAAATGACTCATAGTGGTAGTTTTATTGTAGCCGATTCCAAACCCTGCTAGGTGAAGGTGTTGATCCCATCATTGCTGCCTCACCAAACATGACAGTGCAAAAGAGGAGCCCACCAAAAAAAAACTGAAGCCAAGGAAAGTGAAAACCAATTAATGCTTTGTGTTTGAAATGTTATCTGGACATGTATCTAGGCCTTATTTATCCTATGTATCTGGACATGTATCTCGATCATGAAATTGTATCTCGACCTTATCTTATGTATCTGGACCTTAGTTAATTTATTTGGACCTACGTTATTGTAACTTAAATGGTTCATATGTATTGTGTGAACCTTTACGAAATCTACTATATTTGTGGAATATTATTGTGATCATGAAATTGTGTCAAAATTCTTTCCAAATTCAAGCAAAATTCTGTCAAAATTTTGTCTAAATTTAGACAAGATTCTATCAAAATAAGACCACATGATCTACATAAAACAAGTGAAAAATGATATGATTCCAAAAAAACATCTTCTTCATTACATAGGACTTAGATGTCATTACAACACATGCTTTACTTGCTAATAAGCACTACCACAACTAAAAGAACTAGGACTACAATTATTAAACACAGCACCACCACCACCACAGAACGATAAGCTTGTCCATCTTGAGATCCATCATGTCGGCCACATAACTCACACACACCACACAAACACACAAGAGCTAACTCACACACACATTGGCTGACTAACACAGACATTAGTTGTTTACTTCCACATACAGGCAACCACAACACCAATCAGGACACCTACAAAGCCCACAAAAACAGAATAATCGATCACAATTTGCTTTGACTCAATCTTTGGCTCATGAATCGGCTCTGCAAGCTTCACCTTCAGTTTTCAAAGTTCAGCTATAACACTATCAAGTGTTTGCTTTAACTCTTGCAATTCTGCTTTGCAACGGTCACCTGATGCCTCCTTCTTAGCCTTCAATCGGTGTTCTTGTGCTTCCAACTTCACATTCTGCACCTCAGGGCGAATGTAACCACATGTAGTTTGATCACCCCGCACTCAAAACGCATCAATCAAAGCAGCAGCAAGAGACACAGTGAGGTCACCAATGTCAAGAATCCTTACCTTGATGTTGTATGGGCACTTGAGATACCACTCGTCCAAAGTCGCCGGCTGCTTGCTCTGGATCCGGACCAATGGAACATAGCAAAAGGGGCACTCACTACTGCCGCTACCTGTTGTGCTCGAGCCTGCCGAGGTTACCTTCATCGGGCTTCAGTCCAGTTCCTGGCCTAGCGCGGATGCATCGGGGCAGCGCCCGCGGCCTGGCATGGACGCGGCAGTGGCCTGGCGCGGAAGCGTCAGGGCGGCGACTGCGGCGTGGCACGGATGCGGCGGTGGCCTAGCGCGGACGGTCGGGGCGAGGACGCGATAATGGCACGGGCGGTCGGCGGCGGACGGGCGCGGACGGCCTCGCACAAACGCGTCGGAAGGGAGGTGGCGGCGTTCGTCTCGCGTCTCTCTGTCTCTGGTTCGCTCTCCGTGAATGACCGTGAATGAAAAGGAAGGGATAAGGCTGAGGGGCAAAACGGGAAGAAAAATATGCCGTGGCAAAAAAAATTAATTTGGCAATAAATCGGTCGTAGAGCATTTTACGATAATGACAAACGGACGAATCCCTTTTATGGGATGGCAAAAGTGCGAAGCCCACTTTTCAGAATGGCTGAATCACCATTTTCTCCTTCCTCGTCCATGCCATTTTATACGTCTTCCTCGTCAGTGGACCCACCGTCAGGCCCGTATGCATACGGTAAGATGTATGAGCGTTAAGTCTCCGTCTCCTCGGTTAGAAAAAGCGAGATGGGCGAGGAGATGGGCGTGTGGGCCATGTGCCTCGGCGTCGGCCTCGGCCTCCTCGCCACGGCTAGCCGAAGAAGACACCCGCCGCGACCTCCTCCCCGGCTGCCTGCCGCGCACCTCGAAGCGCGCGCCCTCGGTGGCGGCGACGCGGTCGGTGCTCGCGTAAGCGTCGCCGGCGATCCGGTGGAGCGTGAACTCCGCGGGCACGGGCGTTGAGCCCCAGCGCCGCCGATGGCCAGGTGGTAGGCGAGCGTGAGCTCCTGGAGCGCACGCTGGTGGCGTAGAGGCACATGCACGGTGTTGGCGCAGTCGCGGTCTGACCACTCCGCCGAGTCCGCGGTCCGGTTGCTCCCGCCACACCGCCTCCGCCGCGACACCCTCTTCGCCTCCGTCTGGATTGATAACCATAGAACCATCAGATCCAGCGGTTCGATCCATCATCCCCTTCTTCCTACGTCTAATCGTCTGCCAGCAGGCCAGCACATACTCCTCGCCGGCGTCACGGCACTCGTCATCTGCTTCTTCTCCATTAGCAAGTGCTCCGCTTCCTTGCTTTCGTCTTCTTCGCCGTGGTGACGAGGATGAGTAAAGGTATTTATGTATTTTTGGTTTTATTTTCAAGAGGAAAAGGGAAGTATATGGCATAGGCACGACGTCATGATGACGTCATCAAGCTAACAGCTGGGGGGCACTGAGCACGTGGCGGCTCAGGCGCTCAGCCAGAGCTCGCCGGCGCTGTGCGGCGAGCTGCGTGCACATGCGTGCGGGGAGGCGACACAGGGGCTGTATTCATCGATGAGCTCGCGCTTCAGGGCCCACTCCTGCACCGCCACCTCCTCTTCGTCGGAGTCACCATCGAAAGCATCGTCGTCGGAGTCAAGCGAGATGAGCTTGTGGCCACGGCGAGGAGGAAGAGCAGCAACGAGCGCGTGCCGCCGCGGGTGCTCGTCGCGCTCTCCGCCTCGCGCGCTCGCCGCCACGCCGCTTGCGCGCAGGCCACCGCGGGCGCTCATCGGGCTCGCGCCACCGCTCCGTTCGCGCGCAGGCCGCCGCGCTCTCGCTCTGGCCGCCGCGGGTGGGCTTGTTCTACCTGAGGAGACAGAGACATAACGCCCATACGTCTTCCTTGCATGCATACGGCCTGACAGTGGGTCTATATATGGGAGACATATAAAATGGCATAGACGACGGGGAGGTGAAATTATAATGGCAATTCTTTGAATATATGAATTGTAGTGGTGTATCTTTAAACTTGTAAAATTATAATGATACGAATCAAATTAACTTTTTTTTTAAGGAGCGGCGCCGGTGGCAGGGAAAAGGCGAGCGGGGCGTGCCGCGTGTGGTGCGGAGGAGTGAGATGATTCAGCGGGCTAATCCGCTGCGTCTATTGTTGGGCCGACGTAGAGCCCAGAAACTTCTTCTCAGCCTGCCTAACATGAAATCCCACCTGCTAGCATTCACGCACCGGTGGCTTTAAACCTTGTTCGCGTTTCTAACTTCTGTGTACCCACACACATCTATATACGGTACCAAACTAATTTGAGTCTCTCTGGTACACAGCCATGTGTTTTATGTAATTTTAACATATGATTTTTTTTACACCATAAGATTAAGATCCAACAGGCTCCACTCTTCTTCTACCTCCAGCCTCCACAGATCACGATCATATATCATAATTTTTTTTCTATGGAAGAACAAATCACAGATCCGCCTCCGCCTCCGCCGAGCTCGCCGTCGCCGGTGGTCACCGATGAGAAAGAGAGAGAAAAAAAATCTAAGTTTTTTTTTGCTAAAACACATATGTGTTGTATAACATTTATGAAACAATTTCAGTATCCGGCAGAAACAAAATTTCCGCAGACCCAGCATACCACTGTTCTTCTTTTGACTCACGGATTTCTGCCCGTTTCAATGGCGATCTTAAGCATCAGTACACAACTCATGTCAACTCAACTCATTTGAACACGCATCACCTTCAGGAACAAAAATGCCCCGTCTCAAAAAAAAAACGACCCTTTTAAACACGAAGAGATCGGACAAATATTAAAACAATGGCTATTGGCTATGATTGTTGTTTTACATCTACAAGCAACGAATCACGAATGAATCATCAGCGTCTAATGGAATGCATAGGCATGGCCATAAAAATTAGCAGCAGGTATAGGAGGGTAAGCCTGTTTAACTAAAGAAAACAGGGAAACAGGCCCAGCCATTTCCCTCTCTTATCTGAATAATTCAACATTTAGCGCTGTTGGCCAGGTAACACACAACTAGAATTCTAGATCTAGGAATAGATGGCAGCAATGACCATGGCTGCCTTAGCTTCATTATATAGGGAAAAAGCAAACTTGGTTCGCAAGAAGCTCCTCAACTACTACAGCATATTCTAACTGCACAAAGCAGATACTAGGCATATTCTAAATGCTAAGATAGGAGCTGAGTACAGCTTTAACAGAAAAGAGATTAACTAGATAACTTAGAGAGTAACACTAGGCTTAACTCTCAGGCGCTGCTTTCATTTCATATTTTCTTCCAATGGAAGAGTCATGCCTGCTTGTTCACAGAAGTGGAAACTTCAGCACTGCACATCGGGCATACCTGACACAGTCAAAGGATATATGTAAAAACTCATGCAGTTCAGACGCCTATCCATTATTCAATTGCGTGTCCAAGTTGTGTTCAGAATAACACTGTTCTTGATTGTTTTCTCATGCTAAGTGGTGTGTCTTAATAAAACGATAGAATCATAAAACCATTCCAAAATCCGATGTTTGTGAGAAGCCTTAAACATCACATTTAGAGAAGGATTTCAGAAGATATATTGCGGTGCTTATACCTTTTTTAACTGCAGCCACTGGTTTATGCACTCAGAATGGTATGGGTGTTTGCAAGGAAGTGCAACTAATGACTCGCCTTCGTCAAACTCCACACGACAAATAACACATCTGCAAATGAGTTTTGATTGATTAGGATATCACTCTGCACACAGATAACATCTTTAGGGACAAAGCATAACAAAATGGTGTTCATACTGTTCCATGTTGCCATCTTGCTTGCCTTGTGCCTGGTAAGTTACTGAAGGTAATGAAGCAATAGTGTCAGCAGCAAGGCCTTTGCTTTCCGTACCGACAACTTCACCCAATGCAATTAGCTCCTGAGATCACCACATTCATTAAAGTTAAATAACACATCATCCAGGTTCTAGCTTTACACGGAAAGTAGAAAGAAAAGGCACAAAACATCCTGTTCTCTTCAACAAAAATAACTTGCCTCATAAGAGTATTCATCTGGGTCAACATCTTCCCATGCATCCTAAAATTCAAAATAACATTACAATTAAATGTCAGATACCATATTTATTCCAAGGAGATTTTTCAATCAATGTACCAAGAAAAGATAAGGACCGTTTCCAAACAGAAGAATTTGTTTTCAACATGCATTTCAGATGGAAACAGCTATATGATTGCTTCTCAATACCCAATCACCACGAGGAAGATGAGAATTCTCACTTCCAATTCAACTGTTTGTTTAGTAAATAAATTAAAGTTCCATTTCTTATCATCAAGAGTACACACTACCACTGTATTAATTCAGAGAACCGAGAAATGACGTATATTTCACTACCTTAAACAGTTCCTGTGTTTGTATTATTACCAGCTATAACTTTAATATTTCTTTATCAAACTATCCGAAGGTACATAATAAGCTTTGTTCTGTTCATGTTTGCCCAATCCCCAGCATTCGAGTCACAATCGACTCTTGCAAAGATTAGACAGAAAATGTCACCTGTGTATGAACCCCATCATCTTCGTCCTCTTCCTCGTCCCCACCATCATCCTGCTCCATTGCTCGCCCTGGTCCACAGCGGCAGATTAAGCACCATACAAAAAGGGGAAAAGAAGATGAAAGGTGAGTTAATTTCGACATCAGTCTGTACACTCACAATCACCGATCCCAACGAGCGCCATGGGCCTGTCGGCGACGTCGCGCTCCTCAGCATCCTGCAGGGCACGAACTTCTGAATATCAGCAATCAAGGCCTCGTCGTCCTCGTACTGCGAAGCATTCACCACGGCCTCAAACTTCTGAATATCAGCAATCAAGGCCTCCTTCTCTGCCTCCAGTGCTTCCCGACGCGAAGGACCCGAGATGAGCTTATTCACCTTGGTCTCCAGTTCCTCGGCCTCCTTCTCCAGGGCACGAACTGTTGCAATGGACGCCTCACCAGTCATCCGGGCATTGGAGGCGTACTGCTCGTCGAGGGCCGCGACGGCGGCGGCGTCCCCCAATAAGAAGTGGGAGTAGCTCTGGGTGGTGTGGAGCAAGAGATCGTTGGATGGGCCGCCCGGGGCATCCAGGTCGTCTCCTTGGGAGTAGCAGAGGAGGGTGAGCCAGTGGAGTACGGAGAGCAGCACCGGCCACGAGTGCGGGGCGCCGAGGGCCTTGAGTGCGGAGCTGGTGACCTTGTAGGGGCACTCGAGAAGGAGAAAGTCCTGGATGAGGTCATCCTCGAACGTGGCGTCGTTGCGGGGCAAGTGGAGACGGTCGACGAGGAGGTGGAGCGCCGCCTGGATGTCGCGCGCGGCGGGCAGAGGCCCCCGGAGCGCGGCGGCGGGGGCGAGGAATGCGTTGACGACGCGGAGCGCGGCGGTCTGCGTGGCGCTGTCGTAGAAGTTGGGGGCGGCGCCGACGCCCGCACCGGCGGTGGCGGGGCCGCTGCTGCAGAGGCTGGCGGCCGCGGAGTCGCGGCGGGAGAAGGCGGAGTCGAGGTTGCGGATGACGCTGGCGTCCAGCGCTGGGGTGGCCTCGGATGCGGTGGAGGGCGCCAGGGAGGGCTTGGGAAGCCAGCGGCCGCCGCCACTCCGCATGGTCGCCGCTGATCTAGTGTTTTTTTTTTCAATGTGTCACCCCTCTTTATTCATCAGGGAACTAGTGCAAGCTCCATCAGGAGAAGCAACAACAAACCAAACATGTCTTCCTAAGCCTTGTTTAGATTATCAGAGATTTCAATCTTTTTATCACATCAAATCTTTAGTTGGTTGCGATGGAGTATTAAATATAGATAAAAAAACATAACTAATTATACATCGGATTGTAAATTTTTTGAATCTAATCTTTTGAGCCTATTGAATTTTTTTTGATTGTGTCAATAATTGTTCAAATACAAACTAGTACTAAGCTGCAAATTAGGATTCCAACCCCAATCTAACCAAACGTGTCTTCCCTACCGAAAAAATTTATAGAACTCCTGGCTAAACAATGAGCATCAATATTGGAGCGTCGCCTTCGTGAACAAACTCCACCCTTGTGAAGCTTTTCGTCCGGGTCTTGATTTCCAGTTGGATTGGCCCCTACCTCCCGAAACCCACATCATGGATGCTTGCAACGGCATTGACACAATCGCTCTGCCACCCGGAGGGTTTGGAGGCCTAAGTCACTGGCCAAAGCGAGGCCCTCGCGGCACGCCACCACCTCGGTTGTTTCCGCGTCAGTGCAGCCCTCCAGGACCAATGTCGAGGCACCTAGAAAATTACCATCTTCATCCCTGACCACGGCCGCTGCCGAGGCGTTGCTTGAATATTTGGAGATCGTTGTATCCACATTAACCTTCGCAAAAACCCTTGGTGGCTTGATCCATCACGGTGCTGGATCACCCACCACTTGCTGCAGCTTGATGCTCGGCTTGATCATCTCCAATTCGCTAATGACCGCTCCACAAAACTGTTCGTCGAGAATGGACTCTGAAAGTTGTTCTCAAACAGTGCATGACGTCGCGCATACCAGATGGCCCAAAGACGGACCACCACCCGTGTGAGCTCTTCATTCTTGAGCTCCGCCATCACCTCTGCTAACCAAACTCTTGCATCCAGCGGTTTCTATCTGTTCTTCCAACCATTATTAAACACTTATAGTTTACTAGATCTTTGTTAGCAACATTAGTTCTTGAGAGAGTTAATAATCGTTAAAAATAATATGTCCCAACAAGAGTAGGGTGCAAAATGGTTGCAAAATGTTTAAGTATACTTGGCATGCATATATATATATCTTGATGATTTATTTTTTATATGTTTCTCTAATATATATTGTTGCATGGTATATTTATATTGATGTTCTATATTTATTGGGATGTTTTTTCGGTTTTTTAGTTACGACGAATGGCGGCGGACTTCCCTTGGAAAGGAGCGGCGCCTGCGGTAGGGAAAGGGCAAGCTGGGCCGCATGCCGCGTCCAGTGGGGAGCAAAGCGAGGAGTGATATGATTTAGTGGGCTAATCAGCAGCGTCTATTATTTGGCCGACGTAGAGCCCAGTAACTTCTTTCTAAGCCTGTCTAACATCACCGGCTACCAAGCCGCAACTGCGAGCTTGATCGGTTGAAACACCAATTTTTGCCATGTCAATTTTAAAAAGGAAGTGTCTAGGTGACATTCAGTTATTTTGGCCCCTCCTGTCAACTAAATTTTTCTCATATACTTATAATATTATCTAGCTACATTTACATTGTCTTATTACTATATTTACAACAACTTTTTCAGTGTAATTTATTTGACAGAGTGATGTAATTTAGGGATAACATAATATCTTAGACAAATATATACCAAATGTTCAAAAGAATATACAATTTTTTCTATGGATTCTAGATACCAGAGAAATATATGTCCAATTGTTCATAAATATTATCAAATTGTACACAAATTTACAAATGGAAGAACAGAGAACAGAGCTTCGAGCAGCAGAACAAGAGAGAAGGAAGCAGAGGACGGCGGCGCCAGCGCGCGGGGACGTCTGTCGGGGAGGCCCGCGCCCACTCTAGGGACACCCGCGCCCGAGCCGGGCGGCGGCGGCGGCGGCCTAGGTGCGGCGGCTGGGGGCAGCGGCAGTGCAGCATGCCGCGTGACGAAGCAGGGCCACCGGGGAGGGAGATCCACAGGGAGGGAGCACGCGGGGAGGATCTTCTGGAGGGAAGGGAGGGGCCATCAGGGAGGCAGAGGCAGACTACCAGGCGTGGGGACCATTGGACGGCCACAGCCATCGGGTGGACGCCAACAGATGGCCCCAAAAGCGGTTGATACAATTGATTGACTCAACCGATTGACGTATAGCATTTCTGCTTTAAAAAACTTGACAGGAAAGAGGAGAGCGCACCCGTTTTTTTAATTAAGAGGAAGAGGATGCAGGACTCGAACCTAGGTCTGTGGACCGAGAGCGAACTCCAGTAACCGGTCACCCACGAGAGCACCTGCCCATTTCAATTTTAAGGCAAGCCAAAATATGGGTATACCAATATTAGAGTAAGTGTCTGATTGGTCAATTTTTGTCCAACCAAAATCATAGCATACCAAAATCAAGGTTTGCCAAAGTTAGAGCAAAAAAACATAGGCATGCATTTGGTTGATTGCCATAACAATAATCGTTGTGCCAATTTTTTTATATGCAGTTTAAGAACTTTATAGAGACTTGCCAAAACTTTAGCCATAAACATTGATGAGCTAATTCTTTGGCAATGAACCAATTGATGACTAAAATTTTTAGCATGCCATGGTTTTAGTTGGGCAAGAATTGAAAGCCAACCAAGCAGGCTCTAAATCAATATTTTGGTAAGGCAACCAAGGTTAATATTTGGCTTGCTACGAACAAGAGATAAAAATATTGTTTTGCCAAAATTTAATTTTGGAAGGTATTGCCAATGATTTGACACCAAACCAATTACAAGATAAATCTTTTAAACTTGTTCGTTTTTGTTTAAAAATTGGCTCGCAACCAAGCAGGCCTTGCATTCACGCACGGATGACTTCTAAAAACCAGCCAACTTGTTGAACGACTGCTCAGGCATCCAACGTGAGTCCAACACTGCCGAGTGGTGAAAGCCTGAAACCATGTGTCAGGCCAACGTGATGAAAACGAGAGTTTTGCGTCACGTAAGGTGAGAAGATGGGGAAGCTCAGCTCTCGCTTGCCATTGCCAATTGGCATGCTTGACCTTTCGGACAAGGGCAAAACCGCATACACTGATACACCGGCACAGCCAGGCGCCACTCCTAGTTCCAACTTCCAACTTGCTAGGCTTGGCATGGAACATTCATGCTCTTCTTGCGTTCGTGCCTTCGAGCTCGCTGGCATCGGATGTACGAGACTGAAGCACGACATTTCCTGGACCCTTTTGGCCATCCAAAGAATGAAGAAGGCTCGCCGGAAATTTGGAACCGCACGGGCACGGACATATTAGGAGAGAACAGCTTAGATTAGATTTAACAGAGGCAGGGCTACTTCCTTCAAACCTCTCAGCAAGTAGTATTTACATAGGTCAATTTGTTCGCAATCTCTTCTCAACATCACACACGTACAGGTGCAGGTAGAAGAAGGAAAACGAAATCACGCTACATGGATGGCCACCAATACAAAAAAAAATCCAAGGTGAGCCGCCATGGCCGCATGGCTGGCGGCAGGGAAGGTCTAACTATTCTACAGACAGACAAGAACGGCGTGGGCGCTCGGGCCCGTGTCTCTGCTACCAGCACTGGTCCGTCTCCCATGTGCGGCGGGGCCGGCCGTAGACGCCCCGCCGCCGCCGCTCCAAGGGCGCTGCGCCACCGCCACGGCCACGGCCACGGCGCCGCGGTCGTAGCGCGCGCGGTTGTCCGGGTCGGAGAGCGTGGCGTAGGCGTCGTGGAGGCGGACGAACTCCGCGGCGGCGCCGGGCGCGGGCGCCACGTCCGGGTGCCGCTCCCGCGCCAGGCGCCGGTACGCGGCCTTGATCTCCCGGCCCGTCGCGCCGGCGCGCAGGCCCAGCACCTCGTACAGCGTGGCGGCGGCGGCGCCCCCCCTCCCCACCGCTGGCGCCGCGGCGCACCGGATCTTGGTCTTGCTGGGCTTGGACTTGGGCTCGACGGAGGACGCGCCGCCGAACAGGAACGACGACCCCCCGACGGCAGCCTTCGGCGCCGACACCCGCAGAGGCGCAGAGATCATCAGACGGAGGGACGGAGAATCCAAAGATCTGAGGACACAGGAATTGGGGAAGATGTCACAGGTGGTTGGCGTCCGTGGCTGCTCGCGCGTCTTATAGCTGGTTTTCGACAGGTTGGAGATATAAGAATAGAGGAGGTGGGTGCGCGTCAGCGTCGTCCTGTGCTTGGGGGACACGCCCCCGCGCCACGGTGGGCGGCGCACCCGGACCTGGGGGCGCGTCGCTGTCCGGCGCCCGCGGATTTCTCGTCCGCCCAGTTGGTCCCCCTGATTCTGATTGATGGGAGCACCTGTGTTTTGATTCGGATTCCCGTGGGTTTGCCCGTTGCGCCACCCCCGGCCGACCTCTGTTTGCGTTTGCCTCTTGGCGCCGCGCGACGGTTGAGACTTGTGAGTTGGGACTGACTGGTCGGGACTCTTGCGCGGCTGAGGAGAGCAACGGCGTTTTGCCTACCACTCTACCTCGCGGTCGAGCCATTGACACCCGCTTTCCGCTGCAGTCCTGTGCTGCGGCCGGTGCTTCGTGCCAGCCGGGCGGGACTGGCAATGTCACATCCACCGCCACCCTGTTCCGGCGAAATTTGGTGCTGCTGGTAACCGACGGTTCGCCGCCGACCACGGCACTACCACATGCCAAGAGTTGGCTTTTGTCCATGCACAGCAAAAGCCGCTTCCGAGCGTGTACACACAGGAACAGCGTGGGAAAGGAACCCGCGCCATCGGCACGGCCCCGGCCCCGGCCCCCGGACCCAAACTCGTGTGTCGCGCGCAGCAGTGATATGCTGGGTCCTGTTCTGTAGATCAAAGACTCCCACGAGTATGTGTGTACTACGAGCTCTTGCCTGTGCTCCCCGTGAGCCTGGAGACGATGGACGCCTTGCTACGAACAGATCGGGAGATGGTGAGTAAGGTGAAGGCAGGCGTGTTTGAGAGGTTACTGAGAAGGTGACTGGTGAGGAGGTGAAGAAGGGTAGCGCCGAGGAGAAGCTCGGGAAAGTTGGATTGCTGTTTGGATTCGCCATTGAAGAAGGCTAAGCCAAAGGCAAAATCTGCAAACAAGGTCTTGAAGAAGCAGCCTTCATCTGCTGTGAAGCGCTTGCACAAGTTGCAGAGTTCCTCAGCATGAGTTTTTTGGTGTATTGATGCCGTGATGGTCATATCTTTGTATCTTTTTTGGTTTATTATCATTACTTAATTCTTATCCTTTTTGTAGGTTACTTTTATACTATGTTGACTTCGCTGTCAGTCCATATTTGATGTATTGCTTAATGATTTGCGTTGTCTCTGTGCTTTTATGATAACCATGTGGTGATTGCAGCAGTAGTAATGTAGACTGTAGTAGCTCTTATGTTTTCGGGTGTATTTGAGGTTTCCTGATGGACCCCTTTCTTTCCTGGACTACCCATCTTGCAGCCACGATTGCAGGTTAGAATATTGTTTGTGATATGTTATGTCACTGTTGGTACTCTGTTTAAGTTGAACATCAATACAGGCATGCAGCCAGCCGCGAGCCATTGTGGCTTCTGTTTAGATTGTTCTATTTTGATATCGCTGTTCTAGATTTTGTGGTTATTTATGAAATTTGCTGAACTGTGGACAGACACGATTTGTAAAATTTCTAATGCTGCTGATTATGTTTTTGAACATCCAATTTGTGGTAAATTGAATTTGACTTCATCCTATAATTCATAAACTTTCAGTAAGATGCAGGCCTTTTTACCTGTCCTGACCTATGCTTTGGAAATGTTTAGCAGACAAAAGTACTTACGGTAATTTATAAGTTCAACCAAACCTGTTATTTTGTTCTGCTCTTCTGAGCCCAGGATGCGCTAATATCCAGGCTGTTCAGTTCCAGCAAATAAGCTTTGCGTTACCATTGGTCCTGAATTTGTATCTGCTGTGCAATTTAACAATTGCATCATGTTGACAACTGTTGCTTTGTGCTAATTTACCTGTGATGTTGTTTGCCCATCACCATGGTCATGTGCTGCCTGTATCTAAATGTCCAAGCCTGTGCTGTCAGAATTTTGTTCAGAATCCTCAGCAGCTTGAGTAACTATTTCTTCCGTGTCCTCCACTTCTCTAAACACATCAACCCTGCACTGCATGATATGTTTGTATCTTTTTTTTTGCTCTGGTTTATCAGTACTTGGTTGTGAGCTCGTTTATGCACCCTTTGGAAGGAAGGAGTTTTTATATTTCCTGTGTTTGTTTTAAATTTTCTACATAATTTTTATGAAATTCCTGTGTTCTAAAGTTAATCTTACTGTATAATATACAGTAAGTCTCCCCAAACATGCTTGACTGTAAGCCCACTTACTGTATACAGTAAGATTTTTCCAGAAACTTCTGTGGTACCTAAACAATTTCAGTATCCGGCAGAAACACAATTCCCGCAGACCCCAGCATACCACTTTTGTTCTTTTGACTCATGGATTCGTGCCAGTTTCAACGGCGATCTTACGCATCAGTAGTGACCAGTTACACAACTCATGTCAACTCAACTCATTTGAACACAAGCAGCATCTTCAGGAACAAAAATGCCCTGTCTCAAAATAAAAAAAGGAACAAAAATGCCACCATTTTAAACATGAAAAGATCAGACAAATATTAAAACAATGGCTATTGTCTATTGGTATGATTGTTATTTTACATCTAGAAGCAATGAATCACGAATGAATCATCAGCGTCTAATGGAATGCATAAATAACCAGCGGCGTGGCCATAAAAATTAGCAGCAGGTACAGGGGGACTAAGCCTGTTGAACTGAAGAAACCAGGGAAACAGACCCATCCATTTCCTTGCTTATCTGAACAATTCAACAGTTGCCGCTGCTTTCATTTCACCAATGGCAGATAAATATCAAACCGCTGCTATTTTCTTCCAATTGAATAGTCATGCCTGCTTGTTCACATTGTTCACAGAGGTGGAAACTTCAGCACTGCACATCGGGCATACCTGACACAGTCAAAGGATATATGTCAAATTCATGCAGTTCAGACACTTATCCATTATTCAATTGGATGTCCAAGTTGCGTTCAGAGTAACGCTGTTCTTGATTGTTTTATCATGCTAAATGGTGTATCTTAATAAAAGGATAGAATCGTAAAACCATTCCAAAATCCGATGTTTCTCGGAAAGCTTAAACATCATTAGAGAAGGATTTCAGAAAATATATGGTGGTGCTTATACCTTGTTTAACTGCAGCCACTGGTTTATGCACTCAGAATGGTAGGGATGTTTGCAAGGAAGTGCAACTAATGACTCGCCTTCGTCAAACTCCACACGACAAATAACACATCTGCAAATGAGTTTGATAAATCAGGATAACACTCTGCACACAGATAGCATTTTTAGGGACAAAGCATAAGAAAATGATGTTCATACTGTTCCATGTTGCCATCTTGCTTGTCTTGTGCCTGGTAAGTTACCGAAGGTAATGAAGCAATAGTATCAGCAGCAAGGCCTTTGCTTTCTGTACCGAACAACTTCACCCAATGCAATTAGCTCCTGAAATCACCAGATTCATGAATGTTTAATAACACATCTTTCAGGTTCCAGGTTTACAAGGAAAGTAGAAAAAATGCACAAAACATCCTATTCTCTTCAATAAAGATAACTTGCCTCATAAGAGTATTCATCTGGATCAACATCTTCCCATGCATCCTAAAGTTCAAAATAACATAACAATTAAATATCAGATACCAGCTTTATTCCAAGGAGATTTTCAATCAATATTATCAACAAAATAAGAACCATTTCCAAATAAAAGAAATTGTTTTCAATATGAGATTTCAAATGGAAGCAGTTACATGATTGCTTCTCAACAGCCAATCATCAATAGTAACATGAAAATTCTCACTCCGAATTAAACTGTTTTTAGTACATTCGATTAAAATTCTACACCCTCCATTCCAAATTGTAAGTTGTGTTTTTTTAGATACATAGTTTTTACTTTATATCTATATACATATGTATATCTAGATATATAACAAAAGCTATGCATATATAAAAGCCAAAACGACTTACAATTTGGAATGGAGGAGTATTACTTACCAGCAAGAAGGAAATTCTGACTAACACCTCAAGATTATGATGTACCACCACCGTATTGAGCTCCAAGAAATGTTGTGGCAAGATATTTCACTAGCTTAAACAGTTCATGTGTTTGTATTATCACCACTAATAACCATGCATTTGTATTATTACCACTAATGATCTTAGGAATTCTTTATGAAACTATCCGAAGGTACATAATCTGATTCGTCCTGTTCGTGAACTGAATTAGATAGAAAATGTCACCTGTGTATGAACCCCATCATCTTCATCCTCCTCCTCGTCCCCAGCATCATCCTGCTCCATGGCTCGCCCTGGTACACAGCCGCAGATTAAGCATCATGCAAAAAGGGGAAAAGAAGATCAAAGGCGACTGAATTTCGACATCAGTATTCGGTCAAAAAATTTCGACATCAGTCTGTACACTCACAATCACCGATCCCAACGAGCGCCATGAGCCTGTCGGCGACGTCGCGCTCCTAGCCTCCTAGGCGTCCTGCAGGGCCCGCGCGAAGGCCTCGTCGTCCTCGTACTGCGCAGGGTCCAGGTCCAGCTCCCCCTCGGCCCCCTCCGCTTCCGCGTCCCCAACCTGCCCGTCCTCGTCGAGCGCCTCCCCTTCCTCCTCGTAGTCGCTCCCATCGTCATCTTCCCCCTCCTCGTCGTCGTAGTCGTAGCTCCCGGCGTCCGAAATCGCGTACTCGCCGCCGGTCAGCATCATGTACGCCGGCTCCTGCAGAAAGCACGAGGAATCAGCGGCGAAGTCTCGTAGCAAGCCCCTACCTGGCTACCCCCCATGGGGCCCGGTCCGGGCGCAACCGACCCCACGAGATCTCCAGCACTTACCTGCTCCTGGAGGACCCGGGCGAGGGCGAGGTCGGCCTCCTCCTGGCTGAGGCTGGTGAACGGCCGCCTCCCGTCGGCGGGCGGCGCGGCCGCCGCCGCCGCAGCAGCAGCGGCAGAGGCGCCGTCGTCTCCGGCGGCGGACGCCGGGACGTTGGGGCTGGCGTTCTGGTTCTGGTCGTGGTCGGGGCTGGGCTTGTCGGCGCCGCCACCGTCGATCCGCTTGGATGAGCCGTCCATCGCGCTGAGCGCGGTGGTGGGATTCGAGAGAGAGACGGAGGAGATGGGAGGCGGTGTCGTGTGCTTCGGTCTGCGCGCGTGGGGGTTAAAACGTTGGGAAAGCGGCGAGCAGCGAACAAGGCAGAGCGGTGGCGGCGGCCTGGTCTGGGTTGTGGTGGCCGGTGGGATTGTCGCGTCGCATTCCGATTTAAAACAGGGGACCCGGTTGAGAGACGGGAAAGACAACGGCACACCGCCTGTCATGCGTGGCGGCGTGTTGCAGGCATTGCAGCGTTTCATATAACGGTGGGTGGTGGGCCCTTCATGTCGGCCACAGAGGGTTCACTAGTCAGAACTCAGAATACGCATTGCAAGAAATCATCATAACGTCTAGAGAGAGCGTCGGAGTTCCGAACATCTGACGGAGCACAACGGAAGACGAGTTCAATCGAAAGTTTGAAACTTGTGGTCGACTTCTACCTTGCCGGCGAAGTTAGCAAGCAGCAGGCCGTGGGCTCACGGCAAGTAGATCATGCCTGCACGGGCCGGCACGGGAGGTACAAGGCTTACCGGCATCAGCATGTGAGCGCCAACTAGTTTCTTGCACGGATGCGCCACGGATTTATTACTGCTGGCTGACAGCAGATTTACAAGACTAATTTATTGTGAGAGAAAAACATTATTTCATAACTGAAAAAATAAGGCTGATTCTAGCTTATAAGCCCAAGCCCGAAGCCATATTCTTGAAGCGTTTGCAGTTGCAGACACTGGGTTGATAACCTCTGCTTACGCTATGCGCTTGTACGCCGATAACAGATCGTTTGCAACCAGCCGGTGACCGAATGATGGAGGAAACAAGTCATCTCATCTCAGGCCCCAAATCGTAAGCATCGCTGGACTTGCAGCTTCATATTCCGGCAGAGTCAGTATGTTCGCTTAGTCGTATTTGGCTTGGCTTATAAGCCATAGTTGATAAACCAACGAACAATATTTTTCTCACACCAAACCAGCAAACAGTACTTTCGGCTTATAAACCAAACCAAACAAACAGACCAAATGAGAGCTAAGCACCAATTGTGATGCGGAAGCAAAGCATCCATCCAGACATCCGGAGCCACAACTGCTACTCACCCCGCCTATTTCTACAACACCCAGAAAACCGAGAACGAAAGATAAACAGTCATTGAAATGGGAGAATCTAGCCTCTATTCTGGAAATGCGACAAGTCGGGTGTGGAAGCTACGTGCTTCAACTATAACCTGGACGAAAAAGTCAGATGAACAGCCTACGTTTCACGGTACTGGTACAGTTTTCACGTAAACAGTTTACAACTTGAAAAAAAAAAGTTAGAGCGAACAGGGCTCCGCTAATTCACTTTTGGATTCAAAAGTTTGGGCACTAGGAGCATAGCGACTGTTGCTTTGTATGGTGAAGAGAGAAGAAACGAACTGTATGCTTTTCTATCTCGCTGCAGTTTTCACACCACCCCGGACGGAAGCCGCAGCACCAGTTGCCCACCAAAAACACTGCGTGTGCCACGAAAGTAGGTCGTTAGTCAATGGCTTAATGCTCAATGCTTTCGAGCAAGTGATAAGAAATGCTAGACCATATGTACCTCTTCACATAGTAGTAGCAGAAATCTGCAAGGATGAATGTCTGAACAATTTCGGAGAGAAGCACCATTGAGGGCCACAAACCATAGCCCAGAGCAGTCAACAAACGGCCGCGGGTATCCAAAACCTACAAACCAGAGTAATCGAAACTGATATCAGATGGACTGAACTCAGAAAAAACTTGATGTCTGCAAAAACACAAATTCAAACCTTTCATTCATCTAAAAACCAAGAGCTTTCATTCATCTAAAAACCAAGAGTATGGAGGATATTTCCTCCATGCATGAACACCACAAGTTTACTAGTAGACAACCTTAAACTGGAGATACTGTACATATTCATAAGGAATGTCAATTCAAGCATTCTTCAAACCTAGTACACAACGATCAGTAAAATACTAGGTAACAAATCAAATTTCAGCTGAAAGCGCACATACTGAGAAAATATCATACAGCATGGGATCAGGTAGAACAAAGTAGAGTACTTCCAGCATATTTTCCATTGGACACAAACACAGGAGATTTATCAATAACAAGAAAATCACACCTAAATAAAAAAAAGTGCTTTGCTGTTTCATTAATCACTGCTCATCTATACTATATGATGACTGAATTTTTTTTGTATAATTGATTAATTGTGCTTCTGTGCTGTTCTTCTTTTCAGCATAGGAAGGATATCTTGGAAGTCCAGACCTTTGCAACAATTTGGTGCTGTTTCATTAATCACTGCTCATCTATACTCTATGATGACTGAATTATTTTGTATAATTGTGCTTCCATACTGTTCTTCTTTTGAGCCTAGGATATCTTGGAAGTCCAGCCTTTGCAACGATTTAGTCCATAGTCTAACTGATGGGGAAGACATTTGTTCATACTCTACCAACGTTAGGGCCTCAGAAGTAGATGGCCAATTGACTCTTTGGTAAGAAAGGATGAAACTAGCATGGTAGTTCTTTTTAAAAGAAAATAAAAAAGGAAGGGAGAAAGAAAGAAAAGAACCTGAAGGACCCAGTGTGCACAGCTAAGAAACCTTGCAACACCCAGTGCAAACACATAATGAGCTGTGAATGGCTCAACAATCTGCAGAAAAGAATAGAAATACAATATCAGATAAATAAAGTTATTGGATATTTGGATATTGTTTCAAACACCGTGCACGTTTAGATATTTACCTTGGTATTTTGCATCAAGCGCAACTGGGGCAACACTGAAACTGCTTCCAAATAAACACAGAAGGCCCAGCAGATTCTGTTCACTATGTTGTGCGATGTTGAAGGATGAACAAGTAGTGCTAGCACAGCACAAGGCAATACCTGGAATGGAAATGTAGTTAGATACTATGTGTGGCCCATAGGACACACTTAGACAACACATCAGGGGCTTCCCTTGCCATTTTCCTTTCAAGAAAAAAAAGGCAAACGATAAAATGGCCAAAAATAGCCAGCAGCACAGGTGCAATTTCTGATCTGAGGTAAAATTCTTTCTACAAGTTATATAATCAAAGCAGAAATATTGATCATGTCAGACTAAAGTATACACAGCCAGAAATGCTCTTGCTGGTGGTACAAAGTCTGGGTCAAGCAGAGCAGTGTGAAACAACACATAGCCATTTTGAAACTACAACTTCTGGATCCATATTCATAATACAGGTTATACTGTACAGAGCAAAAGATAGTATAAGGTCCCTAGATGCTCATTGCTTTGAAGTTAAAAGATTAATATTGTTCTTACCACATAGTACAAGGCAAAGTTGTCTTTGTCCAGCATATATGTTGACCTTAGTTTGAACCGAATCATGTAAATAACAAAAAGAGTAGCTGCAAGTGTAGCTGTATCCAGAATTGTATGGATGTCATACTCCATAACAAAACTACAATACAACCTAACAGCCAGAAATAATGCGGTCAAATCCTGAGACTTGAGTGACAATCCTGAAAGAGATACAGAATTTGTACAAAATTTGAGTATGAGTAGAAATTTAAGCATCATGAACCATGAAAACAAACTAATAAAAATATCGGGCTTATCTTAGGACCAATTTTCAACATAAATGGATATGCCAGTTTAGTGTATATTCTCAAATCTAGTCTTTTGTCTAAACATAAATGTCAAAAGTATGTAAGGAGATAGATTCTTAGGCCATCCACATTTTGTTACTGCAGGACAACCATTATATACAAAGTAATATAGTAATTACAAGATGATGATGTGTATGAACCATTCCACTAATATTGTCCATTGCCTATTTTATATGCCAAAATTTGTAGATTTACACACCACAATGAATCCTTGATTTTGCATTAACAAAGCATTTAGGCACATAATCCCTTCGAAAAGTGAATCAGGAAAGGTGCTGAAAGCTACAATTCCATAAATGAGACAAATGTAGGTACCAAAAGAAACTAAAGCCACTACACTCTCTGCACGAGTGCACCAGGGGATGGTGGTGGCATCCTCCTAGCTGATGCTTCTTCCCAAATTTGCACAGACGAGAGCAGGTCACAGAATTTCCCATCCATATGCCATACAAATCCAATAATGCTATTGCATTTCCATAATTGGAAACAAAGTATAAGTAGCCCGAATCGGCTACTAATTTGGTTCGGGAAAAGGGGTCCTTTATCTTCTCACTCATCACCTTTTTGTTTGGTTTGTGGAATGTAATGGTTTGATTCATCACCACCTCATCTCTCAGAATTAGTAAGAGGATGAGGAGCAGGTCATTCCAAAAAAACCATGGGATCGACTGTCAAGGGCGTCGGCGTTGAGGGTAGCAGGACCCCGACTACATAGTTCGTAGTCGCGATCCGTGACTAAGGCGAGGTTTTACCCCTCTGCTCTTAGCCGGTTAGGAAGAAGGGAGTAGTAGAGATGTAGATGATAATTATCTTGCTTATCTTTATTCCATTCCATCGTACAAGACTAAATAGGCCTTAGGGGCTAACAAACTAGGAAATAATTGTTCCTTAATATATGGAACTGATTTGATACCCTTCTATCCTAGCCACTAGCCGGCTCAACTTGCCCTGCATGGCTAGAGGGCGACGGCGCGGCCCCAGCAGCGCGGCGTATGTCTCAGGCGCGCCGTTTCCTTGCATAGGGGCGGCCCCACATGACATCTCTCCCCCCCTCGACGAACAGCTCGTCCTCGAGCTGGAAGGATGGAAACCGGTCACGAAAGGAGTCCAAGTCTTCCCATGTAGCAGAGGCAGCAGGTTCGCCTTTCCACTGGATGAGCACTTGGCGGATCCCCCGGGCCAGGCGAGCGCGCACCGCGTGTTCCGGCTCCGGCTCCGCCGCACCGTTGTGCATGGCTGGAAGAGGTGGCGGGGCATCTGGTGGGTTGCCCACCCACTTCTTCAGGAGGCCGACGTGGAAGACATCATGGAGCTTAGCCCGCGGAGGTAAGGCGAGACGGACAGCCACGTCGTTGATGAGCTCCGTGACGCGGTAGGGCCCGAAGAAGCGTGGCTGCAGCTTCCCTTTGGGCGCCTGGGACAGTGAGGCGACTGGGCGATGGCGTAAACGGAGCAGGACCCAGTCGCCCACGGCGTAGGAGACGTGCCGGTGATGCTTGTCGTAATGGAGCTTCTGGACAGCTTGGGCTTGCTCCAGCCGGTACCGAGCAGCCTCCAAGAACTCCTCGCGTTCCGCCATCGTTTGGGCCACCGCAGCCACGCGCGTGTCCCCAGGCTCATAGGAGCGGATGGTTGGAGGATCACGGCCATAGACCACCCGAAAGGGCGTGTCGTACAGCGATGTCTGGTACGCCGTGTTATAGATGTACTCAGCCCACGGCAGCCAACGGAGCCATTGACGTGGACGGTCGCCGGTGAAGCATCTCAGGTACATGGCGATGACACGGTTGGCCGCCTCCGTCTGGCCATCCGACTGCGGGTGGAATGCCGACGTCATGTGTAACTTGGTGCCCATGAGTCGCATCAGCTCCTTCCAGAACGTGGAGGTGAACACGGGATCCCGGTCGGACACCATGGACTGAGGCATCCCATGGAGGCGTACAATGTCGGTGAAGAACGCCTGGGCCACGGACTCCGCCGAGTATGGGTGCGCGAGGGGGATGAAGTGACAGTACTTGCTGAAGCGGTCCACCACCGTTAAGATGACGGACTTCCCCCGCACGCGTGGCAGCGCCTCCACGAAGTCGAGGCCGATATCAGCCCAGATCACCGTCGGGACCGGAAGTGGCAGGAGCAGGCCGGCCGGGTGAAGGTGCTCCGATTTGTAGCGTTGGCACGTGGCGCAGGCACGCACGAAGTCTTGGACGAGGCGGCGCATGTCGGGGAAGTGAAAATCCCGGCAGAGACGATGCAACGTGCGCTGCACACCCTCGTGGCCGTCCTCGTGTACCGCGGCCATGATCTCCGGAAGAAGAGGCGATGACGGTGGCACATACAGCCGGCTGTCGTAGGTCACCAGGTCGTCGGTGAGAGACCATGGGGCAGCGCTCGATCCTACAGCGAGCTTGTCCCGGATGGCGACCAAGGCCGGATCGGTGGCCTGAGCTTGGCGAAGGCGCGTGATGAAGTCGAAACGCGGCGCGGAGATGGCCAGCACGACGCCGTCGTCCGTGTCGCGGCGGGAGAGCGCGTCTGCAATCGTGTTGAGCGCGCCGGGCTTGTACTCGACGGTGAAATCGAATCCGAGCAGCTTCCCGACCCAATGGTGCTGCGGAATCGTGGCGAGGCGCTGGTCGAGGATGAACTTCAGGCTGTAGTGGTCCGTGCGCACCGTGAAGCGACGGCCCCACAGATATGGACGCCAGTTACGGATGGCGTGGACGAGGCCGATGAGCTCGCGCTCGTAGGCGGCGAGGGAGCGGTGTCGAGGCGCCACCAGCCGACTGAAGTAGGCAATGGGGTGCTTGTCCTGGAGCAGCACCGCCCCGAAGCCGTGGGTGGATGCATCGCATTCGACGGCGAATGGCCGTGCGAAGTCCGGGAGCGCCAGGACCGGGGCCGTGGTGACCGCGGTTTTCAGAGCCTGGAAGGCCGCGGCGGCTTCGTCGTTCCAGGTGAAGCCCTCCTTCAACAGCGCCATGAGCGGAGCTGCGATGGCGCCGTAGTCATGGACGAACTTGCGGTAATAGCCCGCAAGGTCCAAGAACCACCTGACTGCACGCGCCGAGCGGGGCTGCGGCCAGTCACAGACCGCTTGCACCTTGGCGGGGTCCATGGCGACGCCGGCTGCGGAGATGACGTGCCCCAGGTAGGCGATGGAGCGCTTGACGAAAAGGCAATGCTGCTGTAGCTCGGCGAAGACAGCCCGCAGGTGGCGAAGATGATCAGCCCATGATGCACTGTAGATCAAAATATCATCGAAAAACACGAGGACAAAGCGGCGAAGAAAAGGCCGCAGCACGTCGTTCATCAGGGCCTGGAACGTCGCCGGGGCGTTGCACAGCCCGAATGGCATGACCAGGAATTCGTAGAGACCATCGTGGGTGCGGAACACCGTCTTGGCGATGTCGTCAGGTCGCATGCGGACCTGATGGTAGCCCGAACGCAGGTCGAGCTTGGTGAAGAACTTGGCGCCATGGAGCTCATCTAGAAGCTCGTCGACGACGGGTATGGGGAAGGCGTCCTTGACAGTGATGGCGTTCAAGGCGCGGTAGTCGACGCAGAATCTCCATGAACCGTCGGCCTTCTTGACGAGGAGGACAGGCGAGAAGAACGCCGAGGAACTCCGTCGAATGAGGCCTTCCTTGAGCATCGCGGCGCACTGGCGTTCCAGCTCGTCTTTGTGCGTGGCCGGGTAGCGGTAGGGGCGCACCGCGATGGGCTGCGAACCGGGGATCAACGTGATGCCATGGTCGCGGGCGCGGGGTGGTGGCAGCCCGTGTGGTTCGGCGAAGATGTCTGCGAAAGAGGCGAGGAGCTCATCCAGCAGAGATGGCGCCGCCGTAGTGGTGCAAATGGTGGGCGCCTGGGGCCCCTGGACGCCCTGCCAACAGATCGGCTGGCCGTTCCGGTGGAACGTCATGCGCGGGCACCAAAATCCCAGAGGACAGGGCCCAACGTTGCCATCCATTGAGTGCCCAAAACCATGTTGAAACCTGCAAGGGGCGTGACAAACAGATCGGCGTGAAAGGTGTCGCCGTGGATGGTGATCGTGGCCCCGCGGATGACACCCATGCAGGAGACGCGTTCGCCGTTTGCCACCATCGCCGTGAGCCGGGGGCGGCATTGTAGAGGGAGGCCGGTGCGCTGCGCTGCGGACTCGGAGATGAAGTTGTGTGTAGACCCCGAATCCAGGAGCGCGAGGAGCGAAGTACCCCCGAGATTGACGTGGAGCTGCATGGTGTCGGTGAACCGAACGCCCGCGATGGCGTGAAGAGAAAACATGGGCGACTCCTCGGCGGCCGCCGGTTCGGATGACTCCGGAACTTCCTCCGTGTCCTCCACCATGCTGTCCAGCAAGAACAGGCGTTTGCAGACCCTGTTATGACCGCGGACGAATTTCTCATCGCAGTTGTAGCAGAGTCCCAAGCGGCGGCGCTCCTCCTGCTCGGCTGTGGTGAGGCGCTTGATTGACCGGCCGTCCACGATGGCAGTAGTCGATGTGGGTGACGTCGTGGCGGGCGGCGCGGGGAGAGCGAGACGTTGAACGGGCGCCGGCAGAAGGCCGCGCGGGGCGGAGTCGCGGTGTACTGCTCCCGCAGCTCTAGCTTGCGGGCCAAACTCATCACGCCAGCGAGGGTCTGTGGGTTGTGAACCTCGACGTCGAAGCTGAGCGGCGGTAGTAGGCCGCCGGTGAAGAGTTGGACCCGCTGAGCTTCGTCGAGGGGTCCCGCACGGGGAAGGAGCACCTGGAAGCGGTCCTGGTACTCGATGACGGTGCCGGTGCGCCTGTAGTCCGCCAGCTCGAAGAGGGGGTTGGATCGGAGGGGAGGACCGTAGCGGAGGTTCAGCAAGTCCTTGAAACGGCGCCAGGATGGAATGCCTTCGTCCTGCTAGACTTGGATATACCACATCTGGGCGCCCTCCTCCAGATTGTAGGAGGCCATCCACACCTAATCCTCCATGATCCGCTGCTGATGAAAATACGACTCGCACCTGTTGATGAAGATGAGAGGATCGGACTTGCCGTCGTACCGCGGAAAATCCATCTTCTGGAACCGTGGCGGCCGGTCCTGGTGGTGCTCGCCGGTGATGGACTTGCCGGAGGGCGATCGGGAATCAGCTGCCAGGCGTTCGATGGCCCGGGAATTGGCCTCGACCGAGGTCTGCAGGGTCTTGAGGGTGGCGGCCAGGGTCTCCAAGGTGGCCTTGAGGTCGGTGTTGTCCCCCATGATGAAGGCACTGCAATTGGCGGTCGATGAAGATGCAGAGGGCGGCGGCTGTGGAGAGGCACCACGCTCAGGCGAGGAACGCCGGGATCGTGATACCAGGTTGTCAAGGGTGTCGGCATTGAGGGTAGCAGGACCCCGACTACATAGTTCGTAGTTGCGATCCGTGACTAAGGCGAGGTTTTACCCCTCTGCTCTTAGCCGGTTAGGAAGAAGGGAGTAGTAGAGATGTAGATGATAATTATCTTGCCTATCTTTATTCCATTCCATTGTACAAGACTAAATAGGCCTTAGGGGCTAACAAACTAGGAAATAATTGTTCCTTAATATATGGAACTGATTTGATACCCTTCTATCCTAGCCACTAGCCGGCTCAACTTGCCCTGCATGGCTAGAGGGCGACAGCGCGGCCCCAGCATCGTGCTTGGCGGCGCGGCGTATGTCTCGGGCGCGCCGTTTCCTTGCATAGGGGCGGCCCCACATGACATCGACATTGCCTCATCTAGAACGAGGTGGTTCCAAAAACCAAACAACTCCTAAACAGACGAACATGGTTGACTTTAAGCAAAGGAACCCATTGCATCAAGCAGGCACAAGCTCGTATCCTTCTCTTGGGCTAACCCAGTTATATCACCATGGAACAGTTAGAATGAACGCTCACCCAGTGAATACCGCCATAGAAAAACATCCTCCTCAGAAAGCAAGCACATATCAAACTCCTTCCACTGCAATGCCCACCACACCACAAGTCGCATGCAGTATTCAGTTTAAGAAATTAACAATTACCTCGAGCGTGACCTGTCGATGCATACACCCTAAGCGAAACAGCAGAGAAATTATCTACTGCCTCGAACGAATCAGGCCAGAAATCCACACAAAATCAATCGAAACAGGCAACACGACTCGCACTAAATACGAGAATATGCTTTTAGTACTGAGAGTAGTATAAACGGAGGACCACCGGATGCTCGGTCACCATAGTCCATAGACGCGAGGAAAGGAAAAACAAACGCATGACTTCAGCAATCTGGATCGAAAATCAGCGAGCCCAACGGATCGAGCAGATAGCGCCGCCGGGATGCGATTATATAGCAGTAAGGTAAGAGGAAAGGGGTGGCGGAACCGCGGGGGGGGGCGGGGGGGGGGGCGGAGGACGAACCGGCGCAGGTCTTCTCCTTGGTGAGCTTGTAGATGAGCACCGCGATCCCGAGCGCGTGCGCGGCCTCGGCGGCGACGAAGAGGTTGTCGTGGTCGTGGACGATGAAGCGGATGAAGACGAGCGCGGCCATCCCCGCGACGACGGCGAGGAAGGCCTTGACCTTGGGCGGCTGGCGCCGCACCCAGGCCATCACCACGGCCACCGGCCTCCGCGACGAACCCCTCATCTCCCCCCGCTTGCCGATCGGTGGAGGCGCAGGCGCAGGCGAGCTCTGTCTGGGTCGGATGGGCGCGCCCTCGGCGGCTCCGGCTCGTGCGCGGCGTGAGGAGTTTGAGGACCTGAGCTGGGGTGGGGGCCTGGGACGGGCGAGGCGAGGCGGAGGGGGTGGTGGAGTTATGGACGGGTCGGGTCGGGTCGGGTTGTTGCAGCTGTTTCGATTCGTGGCGTTCATGGTCTGCGCTGTGGGCCCAGGCCCCTTGGCAAGCAAATCTTTTTTTTTTTCTTTCCTATATTTAAGCCGAATTCACTGTCTGCTAATAGTTAGCTATATTAGCTGGAGGGCATTCACATGTACAACTAACAAAAAAATTGCTACTAAGATAATTATTAGCTGCTATTATCTAATTTCGTCCAACTGGTGAAATAGTTATTATCTAAAAGTCCAACTAACAATTAGCTATTTTATTAAATGCACCTATTTGATCCAAATAGCTATTATCTATAGGATCCAAACAGTACCTTAAAGAAACGTGACTAAAAAATAGATTATAATCTTTGTGTAGTCTTTTCCTTCTTTGTTTAGACGCGCCAATCGGCATGGCTCAGGAGAAATGCTTACAAAAATGGCTTCTGGCTAAGATGTGTGCCTCAGTGCCTGTTTATCCAGATATAAGATACGCGTGTTAGATTATGGTTCAAGGTTAAAAATAGGCAGCCAATTATCACCAACACACCACCTGAATAATCGATCTCGTATTCTCGTGGGCATAGCTCGACGGCTGCTTGAGGTTGCTCTCGATCCTTGCGACACGTCGTCGTGGTCTCGTGGAAGCTGTGGGACAGACCGAAGCACACAGACAGAGCGTTGTGGTTTGGTTCGAGGACGGGCGGCGTGCAGGCCAGCGAGCAGTGGCGAGTCTCGAGCCGATGTGGGCAGGGCAGGGTAGGGCAGGGCATCTACCCGTGTTTGATTCGGTGCGGGGTGTTAATGCGCCTCGTGGGTTGGATGGTGGAAGATGGGCGCCACCACGAAGACAACGGTGAAAATTTTGCATTTTAGTCTTTTTCTAAAACATATTTTATAGATAGGCCCTCAGCAAAACTTTTTCTAAAAAATAGACCAAAAGCTCGTCGTGCAATGATAATACGCCGATATATGTGGCTTATATGTGGCTCGGCGCGCTACGATTGAACGCTAAACTTACCACGTAAGAGGTAACGTGTCGATCCGATCCGAAGCTCAGCGTTTAATCATTTAACGCCAAGGTTAGGCACGTCCACGTTTAAAGGTATGGCGTTGCTACAGTACAAGCTAATAGCCCAAGTGCATGATGTACTTGTTCATTCAATATCTTTTGAAGATCCATAAAAAATAAATATAAATCCCCTTGACATGAGATCAATTTCATTATAACCATAAAGTTACTCTCTATGGGACAAAATACATGGATTGATAAATTGTTTGCCAAGATTTATACAAATAATTTTCTGAATGCTGGTGTTAATTCGGAGCACACCCATGCTTGTATAAATAGTTGGACTCGGCAAGTCATTTTTTTTGGTGGTGCGAAATAGAAGCAAATAAAATAAAAGAATACACACATGGAAGTGTCATGTATCTGGGCTAAGCCTTGATGCTGTGTTGTGCCTTGGCTGGTGAGATAAATATATTTCCAAAATGCAGTGATGAGCTCGCATGTTGAAAGCTAGGAGTAGTAAGGTGCAGCATAGCACAAGAACGGTCAAATGCAGGAAATGAAATTCCCCAATAAGATGTTCATATTAAAACATTCGCCCTGTGAAGCCAAGGGTGATTAGTTGCACTTAAACATCCAAATGCAAAGAGTTAGTATTTTAGCAAACTAACAAAAGTGCCCAAGGTTTCTGTACAAAAAATTTATAACTAATGAGTTTCCTTAAATTTAGAACTAAGTCGATCAACATATGGAAATGAAAATCTGATCAAAGTCGCATCAGGCACGATGAATCAGATGAACTATAGATGAATTCATTCTTCATGTAAGCAGATCTTTACCCATAAGTGCTGTATAGAGAACATCCCGAGGGTAATATTGTTCCTAGTAGTAATAACAAGTTTGCTAGCTCTGTCAGCATATTGTTTTGGCCAAATTGGAAGCAATTTCAGACTAGCAACTACAACTCCCTGAAAGGCTAAAACATAATAACTCTGATCATGCCCAAGAAAGCAGATCATGCCCGTTCCTATTAATAATTATGTATGTACAACCCTTTGATTTGATTCACTGCAACCAAGTTGAACATGACAGAACCAATGCTCACAACTTACAGATTACTAATCACAATGGACTCAGGTGCGCTATGTGACCTTAATCAACTGTTAGCAACCATACGTCAAAAAGCAAACCAAATTTAGAAAAGGATACCATAGACAAAAGTACCATAACCAAACATGTCTGGTTCTCTATAAATCTTGGCAAACATTTTATCAATCCATGTATTTTTGTCCCGTAGAGGATAACCTTATCGTTCTAATAGAATTGATCTCATGTCAAGGGAATTTATATTTATTTTTTTATGGATCTTCAAAAGATATTGAATGGACAAGTACAGCGTGCACTTGAGCTATTAGCTTATACTGTAGCAACACCATACTTTGCGTCAACTGATCAAATGCCGACGTGCCTAACCTGGGCGTTAAATGATTAAACGCCGAGCTTCGGGCCGGATCGACATGTTGGCGCTTACATGGCAAGTTTAGCGTTCAATCGTAGCGCGCCGAGCCATATATCTTGACGTAGTATTATTGCACGCCGAACTTTTGGTTTATTTTTAGAAAAAGATTCGTGGAGGGTCTATCTATAAAATATGTTTTAAAAAGCGACTAAAATGCACCACGACTTGCACCGTTGCACGGCCTAGCCTGCCTCGTGATCTCATCCTATCATCACCACTTCACCAGTTGTCGCTTGTCAGGTACGTACTCCCTCTGTCCCGTTTTGTGAATCGTTCTGCGAAGGCTGCAAACTGTCTGTATTCAATGTCTCTTCCATGCATATAGACACATGCAGCGTCCAAGTCCGTAGCATCTTGGATGCACCAGCTTCAAGGCCAGAACGACTCTGAAAAAGGGACAGAGGGAGTATGCCTCTCCTGATAAAAAAAGGCTAGAGAGTCCGGGCACAAAAAAGAAGCACCGCACGATCCACGCGGAAGACAGCGACCGACCTCAGCCGGGACCGCCGCGCACGGCGCGGAATTCCTCTAGCTGCCGTGCGAGTGCGACCTCGTGTAAACAGGGCCACGGCACGGCGAACGGGGGTCGGGAATGCGGGACGCGCAACACCCGGCCGTACTGCTCGGGGTGGACGCGGCGCACGGCACGGCACGGCACGGCGCGGAGAAAACAACGCAAGTCTGTTGATCTTGCATCGGCTTTCCGTCTCCGGGCCCAACGCGGCTGGAGTCGTGCTCGTGCTGTGCCCGTGCGGTGCGGTGCCGGGCGAGCTGGTCTACTCGGTGGCCGGCCCAGTTTCACGTTGGGCTGGATGCGTGCGATTTTCTTTTTCGAACTCAGGATGCGTGCGATTTATCCATAATGGTACAGTCAAGAAATCTACAGCCTGTTCGGTTGGCTGGATCGTATCATTGCTGGTTCGTTTATGTGAAAGAGAAGTATGGCTGGCTGGTTCGCGTGAATAGTAGCTATGTGAGGGGGTGGCCAGCCAGCCCAGCCAGCCCCAACCCAGCGATCAGGCTGTTCTAGATAGATGGGACATCTTCCGCCGCTCACTTCCGCACGCGTCGCTCATCCAGCGACCCTATCCGCTTGTCCCGTCCGCGTACCTAGAAGCTTGTTGCGCCGTTTTCTCCCTGTGTCGCCGTGCCCATCCGCCCCACCCACTCCGCCTCGTCGCCGTCGGTTTCCCGTAGCGCTGCACCCCCATCCCCTCCTGGCCTCCTCAGCGCCGCATTTCCCACCGGGCCCAATCTGCCTCGTCCGCCTCCACCACGCTACCTCCTCGCCACGACCGCCTCCACGATGGAAGCTCCAGCAAGCAGGCGAGGGGACGAGATTTGTGCGACGCCACGCTCACCAGCGAGTTGTCCATGCCGCTGCCGCACAGCGAGGTCCATGCGCCACCATCGACCTCCACGCCGGCGTGCCTCCATTCGTCCAAGAAAAAAACCATTTTGCAAGAGTATGTTTCAAATATTTCAGATGTTTCGTCTGGATGTTGCAAGTATTTCATCTTGATGTTGCAAAAGTATATCAAAATATTGCACATGTTGCAGTGGCTATACACGTATGTTTCAAGTGTATGTTCCAAATATTTCTATGTTTGCAAGTGTTTCATTTGGATGTTGCATATGTTTTTACACATATGACGTGTTTTCAGGTGTTTTTTGCAAGTGTTTCAGTTGTTTCATACGTTTGTTGCAAGTGTTTTATTTCGATGTTTCAAAAGTAGATATGGTGTTGTAGCTAGTGTTTTAGAAGCATGTTTCATGTGTTTCATCTGCATTTAGACGTATGTTGCAAGTGTTGCATCCAGATGTTTCAAAAATAAATCGAGTGTTGCATCTCTATTTCGCTTTTCTGCTGTCTCACCTTCGCCTCGGTGTCTCCTCCTTCTCTCGGTGCCGACTGGGCATCCCCCGTTCCCTCCTCCTCTTCTGTATGCTGGCGTAACCACTTGTTGTAATCACCTACTACAATTGTTGTCCACGTGCATGCACATGACAAGCGGATGGCGCGCGAGTGGGGACTCCCCGCGTGTAGTCGGGCGGCGCGGGCCCCGTGCAGGTGGGCACAGGATGCAGTGTACGTGTAACACCCTCGGTGTTACGCTCTAAACCAACTACTAAATCATGTCACGAGCATCGTGTTTGTGTAATAATACATGTGATAGAAGGTGTTAATAAATTTCTTGTAACCTAAAATAACCAATAAAAATGTTAAATCAATATTGATGCAATAGCTCATATATATCAAGTAGGGTTTAAAACTAATTTTTATTAAGCAAAAATACTATAGAACATGTGTGTGACACTTAAATAAAGTTTAAAGCACAAACTTTGTAGATAACAATGCAACTCGTGCTGTAGAAAAATAATATTACTAGCTAGTATTTCTAATAGTCTAGAAACGACACTTGAAAATAAATCCAGCTCAAGACTTAGAAAAATTCCTAAGGTGAGCAGCAGTGTGACAAAGCCATATTTAGCAAATTATTCTGTGAAATTAAGTTA